GACCAGAGATTGCCCGATACACCTAGCTCTTGAAGTTTCCTCAGCAAGATTGGGTGAGAGATCGAATCGAAAGCCTTTCGGAAGTCCACGAAGACAACACCGACCACTAAATTATCGTCTAATGCCCGTCTCCAATCTTCGGTCATTTTCACCAAGAGTAACTCTGTTGAATGACCTTTCTTGTATGCCCATTGATGAGTGTGCCTGAGCTCATGATCTGCGAGGTGGGTGGTGATGGTTTGGGACACACACGTCTCCATGAGTTTGCCGGGCACACAGAGCAAGGATATGGGTCTGTAGTTACTCTTTTCTGTTTCATCGTCCTTCTTGTACAGTGACGAAACAATGGCATTTTTCCACTGGTCGGGTACGCTGTTACTTATTGCACTTGATGTGTAGAGGGAAAGTAGAGATGGAATCAATGCCCGACCAGCGTTCTTGAGTAACTTGGGTGAAACCTTATCCGGACCGCATGCCTTGTCGGGTTTGAGATTTAGCACTCCTTGTAACACACTCTCGTAAGTCAGGTTGATATCCATCACTGTGGGCGTAACGCAGGTAAGTATAAGGTAAGTATACTTGGCCCTCAGGTAAGTATACTTGGCCCTCTTTTGTTTATCATCTATATAAATTATTTACCAAACTGCCTTGAACGCACAACTCCTAGGATGTTTGCTGACGACACTAACTTAACGGCAATAGGTGAAACAATAGATGAGGTGGAGGAGAGGGCGAGTATAGACATGATAAATGTTCAGAAATGGCTAGTATGTGCAAATAAACTAAGTTTAAATATAGCAAAAAAGGAGTAGCTATGTCTTGATTGGAACACGATACAAAATAAATAATGTAGATATCCAACAAGGAGTTAAAATTGATAACAAACTGATCAAAAAAGTAAATAACACCAAAATGCTTGGTGTTCAACTAGACGAGAATTTGAGTTGGGAAAACACATTAACCATATTAGCAGTAAAATTACATCTGGTATTGGGGCTATTAGAAGGCTAAGGGAATATGTTGAACAAAGCACTTTGATTATGGTTTATAATGCCTTAATCCAACCTTATTTCTATTATTGCTGTGAAGTATGGGATACACTTAAAAAAGGTCTAAGCTAGTGAACGACTACAGAAACTCCAAAATAGAGCAGCTAGCTAGGCTGATCATGAACTTAAAAAATGAGCATGGTCAGTCTGTCCTGGCTAGAAAGTCCCTATAGGCTGGGTAACACTTGAAGAGCGTTGGCACAAATGAAAGCCAGGCTCATGTATAAGACAGTTAATGGTTTAGCCTCTCAAAGACTATGCGAAGCATTCCAAGGTGTGAAAACTGAAAAACATTCATGATTACAATTTGAGAGATCGGAAGAAAGCTTTATATTCCAAAACCTAAAACAGAATTTCTAAAAAAAAGTTTCGGATGTAGTGGACCTAAACTATGGAATCAGATACCAAAGGAAATACGAAATTCGGTATCGTATAAGTCGTTTTGTAGTAAGCTTTCCTTCTCGACCTTAATCTAATCTTCTCGACCTTAATCTAATATTATTTTGTGTGATAACTGTGATAATTATTTATTTATTTGTTTAATTAATTGTATGTATTATTAAAGTAGTTCTAAATTGTAAATATTTACACATCCCTTTTGGAAATCAGCACTTGCTGAAAAGGCTAATGTGTTTAAATAAAGTTGATCTTATTTTATAATATTTAACGTGAATTTTCTCATTGTTCCTGGCATCTCAATACTTTTCTCACATAAACCCGACTAAATGCGAAGTGATCATGAATCTAATGATTCTGGTGTATGTGCTTAGGCGAAGTTATTCAAGATGATGTTACTCTCAGGAAAGCTAAAACGATGCAGTTTTACCATGGTGGGAATAGACCTTATGCATAATGATGCCACAAGGCTTGATGCCCGCGAGGAATGCTGGTCTTAGTAGTCATTGCCCGGGAAAATTCAACAATTCAAAATGGCCACTATCGAAATTTTCCCGGGCGATGACTACTAAGACCAGCATTCCTTGCGGGCATCAAGCCTTGTGACGTCATTATGCATAAGGTCTATTGAACCGGTGGACTTGGCGTGCTAGTCCAATGCTCTAGCAACCCAACTGCTCTACCAACTTGGCTACGAGGTCATGCAAGTTGGTTTGAGCAGGTGGTAGTTCGGAACTGAGCTTAGTCCCTTCGATATCTGAATTAGACTAACAAAGACTCGCGAGTTCAATTCCTATACTGCAATCAAGCAATGCGAAATTAAATGTTCGACAGTGACAGTGTTCCTGGCAAGTTCCTGGCAATAGCACTACTCAGCTAGTTACCCGAAACACATCAATTGTCAATTGGACTGTATCAAGGTATCCATGCATGTTTGTTTTAATTTGAAGCTTTTCGTGAAACGAATACAATCAAAGATAAAAATTTAGATAAAGGAATACTAAAATAACCGCAGCAAACCTTTTGGCCATAATGGTCTTATAATTTCTTCATTGTGAGTGACGTCATTTTTAGTACAGAACCATCTCTTGATATTGCCCCAGTCATCAATCTTGGCCGCCATGTTGAAAGATCTTGAAACTTTAGTCATGATCACGTCTGTGTCATCTAGATCTTGAAATATCCAGCCTTGTTTCCATGTGAAGTTTGTAGAACCAGGACAACCACTTGCTGCTTTTGGCAAAGTATAAACACCTTGAGGCCATAACTGCTCTGAATTCGAGAAAAAATAATACTTGGTCATTTGGAGTATGCATGTTAAGAGCGTGTGTCTCTAAAAACCGCCCACTGACTTGGGGCTCGAAAAATAAATTTCTTCGAAACTTTTACCGTGAACTACATTTACTTTAACAACAAGCAAATGCTATGTGGAATTTTGAAAATATATTTAGTTTCAAAGTTTTAG